CTTTTGTAGTCAACTAGAGGGTGTTAGATCTCAGGGTCCCTGTGCATAATCATTAAACTTTTAAGTAAATTATTTTAGAATTTGGTTGTGATCAAACAACTTCTGTAGGCATAGCATCATAAAAAGTGGTTCATTTTGGAATCTACTTGTTACGTAAGAGAGAAGGAAAACAGCCATTGCTGCCAACGCATTGATTGCAGACAGCTGACTGCACAAAGACTGGCTCGTAGTCACAATACTCAATTCTCACCGTTTCGGATGGGAAATAACTTTGGCCAGGAACTCAGAGCTCACAGTATAGCAGCACCAAATAGTGGCGCAATAACGCACCCATATTTTCAACAGACAAAAGTATTTACCCAGAACACCACTGATCTGTATGTCTATCGACCTGCCAATTGTAGAGTCAGGTGTAAATCAACCGGCACTAACACACGGGAGAGTGTCTATGCCACCTCTTGCCTATACCGACGAAAGATATATGCAGAATCACTCCCAAAGTTAAAGCATTCTGCAAAATACCGATCATCGGGAACACCCAAATATCCAGCTTCGAAACCAAAATCCTCTCAGTCTGGACGTTGTATGTCCCATGCGCCGGATCTAGACACGCGAAATTGCATATTGCGTCCGGCTAAGGGAATTGAACTTTTGGAACCATTTAATCAGCAGTGGAATGAGAACAACTGGACCAGCTTCGGTAGTGAAAATAGCCAGGATTCTTGTATTTCACTTGCCGAATTCAACTCGACTGCATCAACTGTTGCCAAACCACTGCCCAAACTGTTATCTGTCCATCAACTCATGGATAGACTGGACTGTGAATTGTCAAGATGTAAGGCTTTACTAAAAAAAACCGTCGATGATCTCACTGACACTAACCAACTAATGAACGGAAATGCTTCCGAACAGAAAGAACTTGTTAGGAAAACCGAGGAGAGCGTACGTAACGCCCGAACGCTGTTGACAAAGGTTCATCAACACATTGCAAATACCCATGAATTTTGTAATATGCTGCATAGGATGGACGAGGCCTTGCAGTTGTTTTCAAAGACCGCTTACAGTGTGGCGACTTTGGAGCAGGTGAAGCTGGAGGACCCTTCCAGGCACGGTGAGTAGTAGGGGCGCAAAATACACATCGCCCCAGTTTGATATCTGCTTTGTAAATTCAAACATTGGATCGGTAAATTACTAAGATGCTCAAATGTGACAGCCTTCTGCGTACATGGGACAGTACTGTAGAGATCTTGAAGGCACCAGCGCTATTTGTTCCTTTGAAATCACCTCTCTAGGTTATTCAGCAGCTTTTCAAAATGGAGTCACAATACGCAGTGCAAACGTATGGCTTTTTATTACAGGACATGGTTGCCTGAGGAAAAACTTTTAAACAATATGTCATAACATGACAGAACTAAATATGGGTAGTAAATCTTGCTACCAGTTGGTAGGAGGATTCAGTTGTAACTTTGACTGCATCATTTGCAAAGGCCAGGTTTGCAAGATTCTCCAACGGCTGCTCGCAAGCCAAATCGACATTCAAAACAATAATAGTTCTGGTTCTGCCGATGAGGGACTTCTGTAGCATCTGTGTGAAAGGAGTCTCGGCAATATTTGGTCTAGTTCGCTTTCTTAGGGTCTGAAATAAGTCGGCCATTGCGTCTCTTTCAACGGAAGAGAAGAGGGGATAGAAGTAGAGCCATGAGGTATGCGTAACAATTTTTTTTATACGGTCTTGTCTAACCAATCGCAGTAATAAAGCAATTTGACCTTTTTCCCTTGCCTTCTTATTTGCCTTTAACCAACGCAAAAAACTGATGAAACTGTCAGCATTTTCAATCCGCACGCAACTCTTGCTCAGTTCCATGAAATCTGAATCGGCATGCTCGCGGCGGATAAGCTCGACAGCAGGGTGTTCCTCGACAAGGTTTATCACACAGCTGTAAGTACACGCAATGGCAAAAGCATAAACGTAGAATTCTGCATCATCTAAAGTCTCAAAACGGTTAATGAGGTGTTTAACTTCAAACAACGCCAGTCCCTCAGTATCCGATAGAAGTAGGTCTTCTGCATCTAGCCCGAGGGTGACAGTCGTCACAGGACCATCGTGGAAACAGCCCGTCACAAGTCCACCCAAATCACTGTACAACACGCCCACTCCCTCCTCAGCCTTGCGAATCCCATCAAGGATAAAGCAGTCCTTATAGTTCACCAGAAGTTTGTTGTGAGAAATCATCTCAATGTGGGAGGCTCCCGGTTTATAATTGATAAGTCTTACGAATGCATGAATTGTGCCAGTCACCCGCTGAAGGCGCTTCATGGTCAAAGCCAACTGTGCCTCCTCCTCTCTCAAAGCACTTTGAATCTGGCGAATCTGGATGCTTAACTTCTTTTTATACTTGTAAAGCTTTTGCACCTCAGACACTGTCTCCGGCACTTCATTGGTACTTACAAGACTTTCCTCTTCAATCCCCTCCTCTACCTCCTCTTTTCGAACAGCAAGTTTCGAAATTGAGATTGCTGTCTGGGTGTCATCGTCATCGTCACCGTCGTTGCCGTCATCGTCATCACGGATGCTGCCAAAGTTTTCCAATTGCATACATGCAGCTGTGTAGTGCCGCCTCAGTGCATTCAACTCATCTCTTAGGTGACGACATTGTCTCTTCATTTGATCCCGTCGCTCCTTCTCCTTTCGAAAAATGTGAAGCACTTGTGGTTTCAATTCCAAATGCTGCTTTATTTTCTGAGTACAAAGTTTGTGGTTTGAAAGCACATCCATGAGAAAGACACTAGAAAGTGGAACAACAAGGTCGTTTGCCGCATACTCACTGTAACTGGAAACACTGCCAGACGCAGATTCGCCACAGCCCAGGTCCTTTAGTGGCAAATCACCACCAGTTTCGCTTATGTCCTTATCAACAATCCATGGACCCATGATATTTTCTATGTTTTGAATGAGCTCATTTAAGAGCTTCAAATCCCTTTCCCTTTCGTTAATCGTAGATACCTCCTTTTCAAGAACCGTTTTAAGTTTGAGCAAGTTGAGATAGCATTCTGTCAGTTCTAGTAAGGCATAGTAGCGACTCTTCCAGCGTTTCGCCAAAAAAGCCTGCCGGCCTTCCACGCTGCCCTCTTCGATCGTTCTTCGCTCGTGCATATCTTTGGCTGTGGCAATCTTGAAGGAAAACACATCCAACAATTTTTCAATGCGAAGTGGGGGAGAATCTGGTCTCTTATTTGCACGAATTAGTTGAAGGAGTTTGGAATTTTCCTGCTCAAGAAAGCGATAGCATCCAAGGAGGTCTGCGTAAAACTGAGCATGTTTTGATTGCATGTATTCCGAAACTTCAGTAAAGTTGACATCTGTATTACCTCCAGTGACACTTTCTTGGTAACTCGCGTCTCTCCTTTCTATAGGAGGGCTGTCAACGGATTTGGAGGCGCGTATACCCTGAAGAAGTGGCACTAAGGAGGGGGCTGTCGTGGTGTTTGAGTCCTCCATAGCCAAAAACGTTGCCTGCGATTCCAACCACGTGGAAGAAAAATCGATAGGTCGAGGAGTAACCTAAGGATGGGACTGAGGTGTCAGAGTAGTCACAATCGCCATAGGCTAAACAGCCATTCGTTCCACTCGGCCCTGAAGCAGATTCATTAAACAGTTATTTTGACTTAAACAGGCCATGATTCTTCAATCTTTGTAAATATATCTATTAGAAGGAGCGCATCAAATGATGCCATTATTTTAACAATATTATACTCCCTTTCTAAAGCTACTATTTTTTGCAGCAGGATACCTTTCGTTCAACTCGTTCCCAAGCAATTACCATTAAGTAACTAAAAATTTCACGAAGTTTTGGTAAAGCCTTTTGTTTGCCATCTTGTACATATTTGCAACATTCGCGCGATTCGTGGTGTGCGTGGACTATAAATCACTCGTATGCGTCAGACCACCGGTACATTTCTCTTAAACTGATCTCCATAGCTCTTTTTGTGAATCTCTTTGCATTAATTCGTTTAAAGTTGATGCGATCAGATGGTACCAGCTCTCTCTACTAATAAGTAACTATGTCAACCCATCAGTTCCAAAAATATCATGAGAATAGCTTTGACTCAACGTTAAAGGCGAATCTTACATCAGTTTACCTTCACCTAACTCAACTAGAAAGTGTTGGAAATATCAAATACTATCTTATTCTTTGACTGCTATTGGCGCCACAAAAACTCCTTGTTCTCGACGTTTCTGTCTGTCTGGTTATTCAAACCATCCAGTCATCAACACCCCTCACGCTTTAAGACATGCATCACTGTATGTACGCATCAGATCATTGCTTACTTTACAAGCGCATGACCTGTAGAGTGAAATGCACTATGCCTGGGGCGTTTGTAAACACAAACTGTAGCGCCCCAGAATTTCCCACCTGGTAGAAGAAGGCAGTAAGTGGAGCTGAATACGCGCACTCCAAAAGGAACGAAGCAACTAGGCCTGAGCATGACCTGAAGACCAGACCACACGTTCAAGGGTCAGACAAATCTTAAAGTGACCGCCAAGCGTCAGATAGTCACATAAAGAAGGCATTACATCAATTGCAAGGCCCTGCAATGCGATTACCCACCTTAACTTGAACCGCTGGGAGACGTTGAGGTAAACCAATGGGTTACAACTGATTAAAACAGTTCCAAACCTTTTACGGTATAATGCCATAAATTTTTGTGACTTTAATAAACCAGAACTTCAAACGGGAACTAATTCTGAACGCGAATCTCGTGCGTGAGGACCTTGAGGAATCCGTCGCCAGGTGATATCTGTTATTCGGCCCATCTGTACCTATATCTCCTTTCTTCATGCATTCAATGCCTAATAAATCTGCTGCAACTAACTCTCTCTTGAAGTCTTGGTTCAAGGACATGGGGGTAGGCAGGCGGTCTCTACAACGGCAAACGTAAATCAACCGCAACTATTATCAGTCGCACAATTAAATGTCTTGGGAGCACCGACTTCCCTTCGCTGAAGGAAGTATATCATCCGCAATAGAACATTAAGAATGTTGGAATGGCATGAGCAACTTGATCATGTGGGGGACAGGAAAATGCTTGACGCAGCAAGGAATAAGTATTGGTGGCCCTCGCTGACATCGGATGTATCCGATTTTTGTTGCGCATGCGTCAAGTGTACCAGCTTGAAGAACTCAATTCGCACGGCTGTAGCCCCTCTGCAGCCGATGTCCATGGGCTTTCGAGGGGAGCAAGTAGGCATGGACATCATAGGTCCGCTTCCCACGACTCGGAGAGGGAACCGTTATATTTTTTTTAAGGTAGACTATTTTACCAAGGCTGCGGAAGCCAAACCAGTGGCGACCGTATTCTTCATTCGCTGGATCTGCCAACATGGTGTGCCTGATTCCGTACATAGCGACCAAGGGGCGAACTTTGGAAGTTGTCTCTTCAAAGAGCTGTGCAAAGCCTTTGGAATTCGTAAGACGCGTCCGACGTCGGGTTACCCTCAGGGAAATGGGCAATCGTACTCTTGTCGACTTACTGAAGACCTTTACTAAAAAAGTCTTACGACTAAAGGAAAACCCCAGTGGACAGAACCGAACAAATGTCTAATGACGGAGATTTGGTGCAATTGTATAGACCGATCCCCCGCCAGAAACCCATAGGAAATTCTACAACCTGTGCAGCAAGGAACCCTACCGGATAATCAAAGTCCCGTCTCCCACCAACTATCTCATTCGAAATGCAGGAATCGCTGCTCAGCCTCTAACAGTACATCATAACAAGATTAGATCATATACAGGTGCTCCTCCAGTAGGTTTCGAAGACGAAATCTATACGTTGGGAGAAAGGGAAGTCACCTAACGGAACTCTATTGGTCAGCACAAAGGGCGGTGAGTGAAAGAGAAGGGAGGCTGCGTAATATATACTACAGAGTTTAAGCTGACCTTTAAAGGGGAAGACGGGAAGCGAATTCGAATGCGAGTCCCGTGCGTGATGATCGTGAGGAATCCGTCTCCAATTGATATCTGCTACTCGGCCCATCTGTGCTCCTATCCCCGTTCTTCCTGTATTCACTGCCTAATGAATTTACTCCAATTAACTCCCCCTTAAAGTCTGAGGTTTAAAGACATGAGGGTGGGTAGGCAGTTCATATAATTCTTCCTCTGGAACTCTGTACTTCGTCTTTGTGATACAACATCTTGTCCGATTTAGTTCTAACCGTAACACCAAATTTATTCACTTGGAGTTGAGCTAGTTCAAGTCGCTTCGAAGACTTTGGCAACATGTACAAAATACTGCAGCTTTAAATTATGTTCGGTAAATCGGTAGTCACACAAGATGTTGAATTCCGAAAGCCTTTGTAGCATCTTAAAGAGTCCCTCAAGCAGAAGAATGCATCACGTTGGGCCGAATACACGCGTGCAAGGACAAAACGAATAACAAAGTAATCGCCAGATATCAGGTGGTCTTATAAACAAAGTGTTAAAGTCTTTGCTTTAATATTGTACTGGATACTTTAAACAGTTTTTATAGCTGTCAAGTTGTATGCATTATCATACATCTGCATCGCCCTGCAATAGCAAGGAGGACTTTGTGTAAGGTATAAAACTCGGCCTTTGGGTTTCATTAAATTCCGATTTTTATTCGTGTAAGTTATATGTATCAAGTAAATTAAATCACCTTTACGTGCTTACACAAATGCCCATTAAGAAAAAAATTAATAGTTTTAAGGCCAGGCCTGCTGTTAGCGAAAAAGCTAACTTATTTTGCAAAAATACTAGCTAACGATACCACTATCAATGTCCCTATGATTGGAAGTTCAGTCCGTTATGCACTTAGCCCAAAATCGCATAATGAGTAGTGAGATGAGGTAGTGGTTGGTTTCGTGCTTGTTGTATGTGACTCTTCATTTTTCGTGTTTTTATGTACATATACCTGGTGTATATAATTACATAGTTATTGAGGTAGTCAAAATATGGGCGTGGGGGTTAGTGAACCGCTCCATTGGCTTATTTATGTCCTTCCTTTCGGATCCGTTATCGCATTTCCTGTGACCACTTTATTTTTACGCGTTTATTCGGAGCTGATATTTCTATTTTTTACTCGGTTTTCTAATTTGATCGGAGCAACTGATTTTGTAGTTTTGTGACGTAATTTTCTCTTTAGATAATCTCCAATGTGGGCTGGTATTTCAGCATTCGTCCTGGCCATTTCAAGAGATGCTTTGGGTAATTGCAATAGGTGTACTTTATCTATGTTTATTAGCACTCCCAAAACGCTTCAGTCGCCATCGAGTCATGCCTCCAGAGTTTCACAAGAAGTACTTTCCTATGGTGACTGAAAAGGAGTTAGAGAACTATAGGGATACCAGTTGCACCAAGCTAAACAAAAAGATGCCAGGGGTTTCTCCCACTAAAGAAGCCCCTCGACATCTTCGGTATGTAAAGCACTCGCTGGCTATTTCATTTTCTCAAGTTCATTTTATCAAACACTTTTGTAGCTCCGCGTTTAACCCTTTTCGTATTGCGATCTTTTTCACTAAATCTACGCCTTTGGCAATGCAGGAGTTTGAGTCTAGAAGCATATTTATGCTTCTTTCAGACTTCTTTATCAGGAATTGCTCCCACATAACCTTGACCCTCGTTATCGCGATTGCCTTCGTGAAAGACTGGAGCGTCGTGAAATGATGCTTCGTCGGCGTCATCTGCACATACCCGAATTCTATGTCGGTAATTGTTAGCCTTTGCGGAATCAGCGCATCTTTTTGATGCGTTTATCTTATAACTTTGATTACTATCCTTTTATCATTGGTCAATGATTAAATTGTTTTTTGACATTTGATTCATCCTCACTACTTCGAATTTTAGGTTCCATTTCCACAGGGCTTCCTTACACGAAATCCACTGCTTTATGTATAATTTATTATATGCAATTGAAGTTTAAAATTCTCCTTGTATTTAAAGCGTCAAAGTCCCCTGTCGTTGTTTTTGGTGAAAGGTAGCTACTAGTGCTCGGTTTTTCAGCACTATTCAGTTCATTAGTGATCATTCGCATGCTGTTCTTTTCCTCTTCTTTGCAACCATTATTATCACTGACCTCCAATTGCATCGCCCTCTGTTCATGCAAGTGCCATTCATCGTGTGTCACCATGCACACTAAAAATATGAACATTATCATTTTTAAGTTGGCCAGAGCTCCATAGTCATCCGCGATGTGTCTCCTCACTGCATGAGATTTCGGCACACCGATGAGACTGGTGGCGAAGAGGGAGCTCAGCAAGCACACCGCTTCCGTGTACTCATGAGTGGCGTCGCTGGTAGTGCTCCCTCTCAGCTTGTATGCAACTTGTTCTTGGCTCCATCTCTGACAAATCTTTATCACGGTCATTGATGCAGCCTGTTGTTGATGGCTCATCGTAGCTATGCACTTGGCCACGAGCTTTCGACCTGTGCTCCAGCGACAGGTCTCTCCCTTACACATTCCATGTCGTGGACTTATCGTGAATATTTGCCTTTCAATGTAGTCGCAAAAGTCACTTGAAGCAAAAAATGCTGGTTTTTCAAAACGCAGCATTAGAATTTGGATCATTTGAACAATCACACCGATAGGAAGGGAGGTGATGAAGTATCTGATATGGTCTCTGTCTCCGTTGGTCTGAAGCAGGCAGGAAAGGAGGTCTTCTGCCATGCTCAGAGATTTTCTATTCATTCCCATCTGAAGATTGGTGATTGGTGGGACTTTGGAACTTATGAACTTGAGGAGTTCAATCAAGAGAACGGGTGTTGTGCAGTTGACCGGTGCGTAAAGGAGTTTGTTGTAGCTTAGACTTCTCGGTGCTTTAGTATGCGGCAGTATTCCATTTGCAAAATACGTCATCAAGGAGGCTTTGTATTCAGGAACCTCTGCAACAATATCACATTCCTCCTCATTCTGCATACTGCGTCGTTTTGGGCTAAAGCCCCGTTGAATTAATGCCCACGTGCGTGCTCCTGCCTTTGACATGTGCACACGTCGTTTATTGATCTTCGTTTACCCGCTTTCCATTCTCACATCATTGCTTTTTTTCGCTACTAGCCTCATTTTCATGAATCTCAAATAGTTTTTGAATCGGTGTCAGGATTTTTTGCCATGGATTCAAGAACTCTGCTTAATTGTGAAGATATGTGTGGTTTTAATTTATTTTGAGTTGAGTTATTTTGCAACAGTTCCTAAAGCTGAGACTACAAGCTGTTACCAGGCCGTCAACGCTAGTTGCTATGGTTGAATTAAAAAGTTTCTCGAATATCGTCACTACTGTATTTGTTTCTAGTACTGACTGACATCCTTTTTAGTTCGAATTGTGGAGTCTCGTCTCGGTTATGGAAATGTCACTGGATATTCAATTAATACTTTCTGGCTTTCTTTATCTAAACCATCACTGTGGTCAGTTTTTTATGTGCATAAGAGCACTGACATCAAGACATCAAAGTCGTTTGGTAATACGTTGCAAAATTTTGAACGTGTGTGGATTTTATGCCATCGTGTGATCCCTTCCTTTTTGCATATTATCACTAAAGGCGGTCAAATCGGGGGAGGGGGCAGTCATACGTTAGACTGATCGTTTAAGAGGATTCACACAACTTCAAGTTGAGTCTCAGACGTTCACTTCTTCATTTGCAGTAGTGCAAGGTCTGCAAATTTCCTCCATTTCCTTCCCCTGCCCTTACGCATCTTCTCTCGGTGTTGCTTTGTTGTCAACACGTCCAATGCTACCTTGTGCCAAAAGTCGATCCCTATTGCACTTATCAGCAGCATCAATACACTCCACGATATTTCCTTGTCTAGGCAAATTCGACCACATTCATTGTTAGCAGCATCGGTTATCCTGATCGATGGTCCTTTACATGGCAGTTGCGAACACGATGGTTCTTTCGGGGATGCATTGTCGGAAATTAACAGTATCTCTTGCACTTCCACTGATTCTTGTATGGACATAATTTCTGGTCTCGAATGCGCTTCTGGCACAGCTTTAAAATCGTTTATATCTAAATTACCTTTGGTAGTTGTCATAGGTTTTTGGGTCATTTTTGCTGTAGCCTTTTCAGCTTCACGCCTAGCGTTCTCTTTTGCCAGTTTTATATTCATTGCAAGCCTCTTGTAATATTCTCGCGATTTTTGTTTCTTCAAGTACTGGGTAGCGCTGTAGATACTCCCATCAGACTCTGCTTCACTTTCTTCTCTACTTGACTTTTCTGGTTCTTCCACTTCATGTGTCTCTAGTATGCTCTCTACCTCTTCTATGTTAATCCCAGTATCCAGCAATGACATCTGTATTCTTGTCGGTACACGGATCAGACAATCGACAAACAGGTCAGCCAGCACTGAATACGCATCATGTGCAATCTTTTCGGCACTTACGTTAGGATTATTAGTCACCTCGAAGGCAATTTGCTTCTCAACCCATAAATGTAGTTTTCGCATAATTAACGACAGCAACATGACTCGACGTGTAGTCATTTTTTCGCAGACTTTGGCCACCTCTTCTATTGCAAAATAGCGCTTATTATCGGTTGGAATGCAAGGAATGTACAGAAAAATTGAACTCAGTTTACACAATTGGTATGTGGGCTCAAAGAGAGAGGGGTAGTTGTTCATGAGATAGCAACGGAGCACTTGTAGGAGTGTTCCCGTGCTGTGTTCCTCCAAAGCCTGTTTCGCAAAGCCTAGCCCAGCTGCTGAATTCCGCCTGATGTTTTCGGTCATAGCTGCAATTTCAGCTGTTGTTTTGTCCTTCAGACCCGCTCTCAAGTTATGAATGGGTGGAATACGTGTCTCGAGAATGTCAAGCAGTATTTGCACAACCATAGGAATCATTTGGCACACTTTGTGAATACTGGAATTAGTTAGGTCGAATGCACATTGTTCAGCCTTCATTTCGCCACCTGCTTCTGTAGCATTAAATTTGTGAGTAGAGATGACACTGCCGCGCGAGCCTCTCCTGCTTCCATTATCGCTCACGCGCGAGTCCATGGAATGCTCTCGTAGAGATCGAGTGGAATCGTCTTCAAACGTCATTTCCCCAATTAAACTGCAAGTCTTTAACGTCGTATACCTGGTATCTGTGCCACGTGATTCTCATAAAAATTCAATTAACGAATGTTCAGCACGTGTTCCTACCTACCCTAGGACTTCTTCGCTTCTGATACGTAGAATAGCCATTGCTATCCCTTCAAATTTTTTTGGGCTCGAATTTGTCCGTTTTTTATCTATAGTCATTGAAATTATTTTATTCATACTATTCATTATTATTCTTCTTTCACTGCCATCAACCCTTTCTAGACGCCTACATATCGCCCTGCTTAGGGTCGTAATGTTGTATATACCTATCCTAAAGTGTGAGTACATGGTGTTTTGCTAGATACCAGACCAAGCAGTCTCAAGACTCATTAAGGCCTCCATTGTTCTTTGTCGTTTCGTCCATTTCAAGTAACAGTAACGCCGTATCATGCTTGTATGCATTTTAATATGCAAAGAACTAGTATTTTAAATCAGCTATCTTCTATTTCGATCATTTGATTTGTTAATTACTCAGGTTCCATCTTGGCGGCAACGGTTGCAGACAAGCACGCCCCAAACAAGAAGAATCGGTTTGTTGGAATCTGTATTGAGAGGAATAACGAAGGTCTTTGGAGCAACTTTACCCTTCGCAATGTCATTGACCGGACGGGTACAGAACTTTCCTCTTACCGTTTATCTTAATTCACCAGCTGAAAACTCAGCAATGTGACCACACATTTCACATTTTTATCCAGCCGTGGAGGTGAATTTCGAGCTCTATAATCCGACGCTCCTCTCAATAGAGGTATTACTGTTGGAGAAGCGCTTAGACCGAAATCTCCTCTATTTGCGCGATGCGCCCCTGTCTGAGTCCTGTTTCCCTTTTGACCTCGCACCCGTGCCTCATGAAAAGGACGCTCCAGTTCCAATTAATGACAAGAAGGTAATCACAACCCTCGCTCATGCAATCTGTATGTGATGTCTTTTTCAGTGGGAGTTGGAAACCTTATGGAGTTAGCTTTTCCAAGACCGTTTATATTCTTTCCTTCTATAAGTGCATTTTTATTGTTAACTCCAATTGATTGTCATTTTATTTCCAAGGTGAAATTGCTTCCGCGACCATGGCATTTCCAGTGGCACCTGCACGGATACCGAGGCATCGATCTTAAGTCCATGTACAGCCAACTTACCCGTGAGGAGTTGAATCAGATCGAAAAGAAGGTTGACTTCATTGACCGTTACGACCTGATGAAAATGTACAGGTAGGTGTTACTTTGCGGTTTTCCATCAACACATTCAAGTACGACCTCTTTACGCCAGATGCGTTAATTAATCAGCGCTTGCCGGTTTGCGCTGGTTTAGTTATTCAAATCTACTGTTTTGTGCGTGTTCGAACAGTGAACTTGCAATGGTGTTGCGTTTTGGTTTGATAAATTCCACAATTAGATCTAGGAAACATTACTACTGTACACTAATTACTGAGATTGTTGGATGTTTAATCGCGTTTGAATCACCGAAGGAATTGCACCGGCTGTTATTTGCACATTTGGGAGAAACAATCTATTTTTTGACGAGATGTCTCACTTATGGTTTCACGTGGTACAGGATATTAAAATACCTTTCATGTACCATACGGCTTTTCTGGTTTCCTGACCAAACCTCTGCTGCGCTTATTATTTTAAAACTGGCCAAGCTTTTTGTAAGCCCTGCGGACCTTACGAGTCTCGCAGATTTGTATGACGTCGGTGCATTGCCCTTGAAGATACAGAAACCCTTGGCAAATACCACACCTAGTCGGATCTTCATTAAATTTCCATTCTTTTGTTTTGGTCCTTCGTTTCAATACGTTTTGCATTGTATCTAATGGATATCTTTTTTGTCCATATGATGCAAGATCGAGGAACACACCGGCAGAGGAGAATGCGGTGATAGGTGAGGTAAGCCGCAATCACACAGAGCTGCTTCGTCATACAGACTTCCTAAAGGGCCACTGGCGCGACGGCTTCACCTCCGATTCCCCCTCTGACCCCCCCTAATACTGCAACTTTCTAATTATGTAGTTGTGCTTGTAAAAGACTCAATCATTGACACCATCAAACAATGGTCTTTATTTGCGTCCCTAGTTTAGAGGCTAAGGTGATGCGATCATCATTGTTTATATGGGTTTCAACCTCAGTGTCGGTGGCACGGTTTGAAGCTCGAGCACAGTTATTCATATTTTGTGTCCTAATGTTTGTTTTTACAGTAGCGTGTGGTCCTACAATTGTCTTTGCAACTACCAAGTGGTTTTATCTTAATTAGTTTGGCTATCGCCTTGATGATCTTATCGTCCCACCTCGATCAAACAGCATAATAGTGCTGATTGAAAGGCTCAATATTCAAGGCCTCCTGGACTGAATTGATGCGACTCTGATATTTATTGTTCAATTATCATCATCTTTAGCGTTCATGAACATCACCCTGACAGTCATGAATGCATCGTTTGAATAGCAGTGCCAATGTAATGCTAGATCGTTACGAGTGTTAACCGGCATGTTACTGACCCGGTTGTTTTTATTACCTAGGCAAATGTTAACTCGAATAATTCAGTTGTAAATAATTGGAATTTATTATACGTTTAGCATATTTACCATTCAGTAGTCTTTTTGCAGTTGTGGATTAACGTTGCTTCTCATAGATTCCCACTGGTGAACGTGTCACGTCATTGGTAAATCAGTGTGCACTTTATTAAGTATTGCAATGCCGTGTAGTAAAATAGGAAATGTTGTATTGAACTCTAGACAAAAATTACGAAGTACTTGTTAGTTGGTAGTTTGTAACATCAACGTGGGATTCGCATCGAGGTCCGTCTCCATCAGACAGGAGGTGCCTCCGGAAATACCGCTCCTCGACCCAACAGCAGTAAGTCTGTGATTTGCAGACGTTCTGAAGCAAAGTTACTGAAATTCAAAGTGACAGGAGCTCGTCGTTGTGATTTGGCTATCGGTAAGTGTTGTGCTCACTCCTTCAATGTGTTTGAAATTCCAAATGATCGTAAGCACTTATAGTTTAGAGAAGGGCTTCATTTTCACAATTTTCGCAGAATTTTAAAATCTACTCTTCGTTGTTTCTGCTGTCGCATAGAGGTATATTTTCCGGTTAGACTAGCAAGCGTGCAGATTGTTTTTGCTGATTAATATTCTAGTCGCAGACTTGACCATCGTTTTGCAAGTTTAGCCACTAGTCTCTCAGACTAGTACACTGAAATCGAAGCCAACATTAGGTAACTAGGCATTTGCATCCCTCAAGAGAGGAATGAAATTACTAATGACAGTATTTTGCGAAGCAGTGACCTTAGTAGTGACTTACGGTGTTGGGGATGCCTATCTAGCGGCAGCCTCAAGGCGTCTGCGAAGACGGTTGATGTCCGCCTCGCTGATGGTGCGGTGAGACCAGCGAGCGAGCTGGACGAGACTGCCCCCAAGTAGCATCAGCACGCCTGAAACAATGTAGCTGATGTGCATGTCGCCAAGTTGTAGACTCACCAGTGTAGCTAACGGCGTGCTCAGACAGTATCCCATTCCTGCTGACATTATCTCCCATCCCATTGCGTCTGTAAGCCGCTCTCTCTGCACTAGATCCGCCAAAACCAGGGGATGTATTACTGTCACGCCTCCTACGAAACCAACATGGTGAATATAATTCCAAAGAAGTCTGTCCCAGGCTAGTACTTGCACTCCAGAACAGTTGTAATTGGCCTCAATTATAGTTTTATCGATGCATTCCACTCAATTGCTTTTACTAATTTAAATGGCGGTTTTCATGCTTCTATTGGTTGTACTCGAAGAATTAGGCGCATTATAAACTGAGGTGTGAATATTTTATAGCCTTATGGAAAAGGCCAAACAGCATTGAAGTAGTTTTAAACCTTCGGGAATCATGGTATTTTTTCGCCCGACTTAGTTGGGATGTTCTCAGTGAATAAAATTTAGTAGGTGGAGGCTTGCAGATTTGACATAAAAGTGCCAGCCTATTTAATCAAATCATAGCAATCAAACAAGCATATATTGCTAAAAATGCACGAACGATGGATCCAGAAGGGTTTGCATGATATAAGGACGTACCTAGACAAATTCCTATAACACATGCATAGAACTGCAAAAACCTTTCCTGGTGGAGAAAAAAGACGGTGATGTTTATTGCTCCACCAGTCATCATGAGCGCTGACAGTAGGTGGGTCTTGTTCACCCAGCGAAACGTGGCCAGCGTGCCGAACGCGAGTCTCGCAACTGCACTTGATATACCCACTAAAGCGGCAGCACTGGCTGCTGCCTTTGGAGTCAAGCCTTCTTCGAGCAAAATGTCAAATAGAAGGATGACTGGGGAGTAGGATCCCATGGCTTGAATAAACACTGCGGCTAAGAAGACCAAAAAAGAAGCGTTTCTGTGCAGTGGCATACCCTTCCCAAATAACCCAATTTGTTGAGCGATTTTTTCGACTTCAACTAAGTAAGTGAATGATCCTAAACTCCCCATAATGTGTTGCATTTTAGGCGTTTCTAGAGTGGCTTTCAGATTTAGTTGTGAGCTTATGACTGCAGCGCTCGAAGTAGGTTCATTAGGAGGGTTGAGATATCCGGAGCCGAGAATACCGAGAGCATGAGAATCAAGGCTAAAAAAGCTTGAGGTGGGATTGTGCTGTAACTGGCTTGTTGGTTGTTGTGGTGGTTTTTTGGGTAAAGCAAGCCCAAGGAGGCACCCAAAAATACAAGTATGTAATAGTAGACCCGCCGTGGCGATGCATAATCCTTTCCAGGTGACTTTCGACTCGATAAGAGGATAAAAAATACTGTGTATTGAGGCACCTATACCCGAGCCACAGGCCATGATCCCCATGGCTATGGGTCGTAACTCATCGAAGCCCGTGGTGATCGCAACAATTGCAGTCATATACAGCAGTCCATAGCCAGCACCTACAAGTGCACCAAAGCATATGTAGAGTGTTATCATATTGCCATCCATCCCGGAAATAAAGTGTCCCATGGAGGCAGTTACTGCTCCTGCGATGGCCACCGGGGTTATTCCGAAGCGGTTTATGAGAAAGCCAGTCAGGGGTCCCAGACAATAACTAAAGAACATTTGAATGGAACCAATCCATGATAAGACAAAGGCATCCTTGTTAAAGTACGAGGACCAATAGGAGATCAGGATGCCAATATTGTAAGTGCAACCATCAACGCAAAAACAGGTAAGCAGAGCTCCTATCAGCGTCAGCGTATGTCTCACCGAGCAACCCTTCTCTTGAAGATATTTGGGACAGCATTTTATCATGATCCACTCCTGACATATGTAAGGCGTGACAGCAGCGAGATTCACGCGAATTTGAATTCTATTGATCGAATCGTCTGACAATTTCCTTGAGCACATTCTACTGCATGAGGCCCTGCCCCTTTCAGTACCTTGAACAAGTAAATTGGTTTTTGTGCATAATGGTAAACGTTACAGTCAGCTTTAACTTTCCTTGACAACTTAACTGTTGACTGCCAAATGTGAAACAACAAGGGGCCCAGCAACTATCAGAAAATTCTTTGCTATAAGGTTACTTTTACCGGTCTTGAGTGAGGCGGTCCCTTGCCTTTTTAGATTGCTTACTCCCTTTATATATACAATAAAATATTTGGAAAATGACTACTTTTGATGCACTAAAGTCCTATTACCTCAGATTAAATTAGCGCTTTCAAGGGTTCTCTGCTAGTTTTTAATGCATTACCTCTGTTGCTTACGTCTAAATTTGTCGTTGAATTATCGCAAAGCCGGTATGATCAAGTCCTCTCTCATCTGATGTACAAAGCATTGATGTCATAATGTCACAAGCGGATGATGCTCCCTATCAATCGCCTATTTTCTACTAATTGGAACTGTTTGACTTCATAGCATTCCTTGACGTTAATTAAGATGTTATCTCAAGTAGCATCTCCTCAAAACCTGTTGTAGGTCTGTTCCCATGGCACACGTTTCATCAAAAACTGTTTAAATTATTAGGAAAAGAATCAGTTCAAATCATTGCGAATCTTTTTATTCTGACACCCTAACTGTAATGCAGAAATAATGAGAGGACCTGAGATAAGCTAAAATTTTTGTTGCGAATCGAGTAATGATAACGATTTGGGTCTTTGGACTGTTCGTTCGTGGTTGTCTTTCTTTTACTTGTAGGTATCATTGATTGTGACACTGCCACAGCGTTAACTAAATGCGCTTTGATATCTCCATTTATCAGTCTGATCATTCATTGCCTGCAAGTTCCTCAGTCAAATGACAGTGATGCATTGTAGGAAGGCTGGTAGATCATACGAACTCCACGCTAATTAAATTTTAACCGATTATAATCTCATAAGCCGTAAAAAAATACTTTCCAGCTTTCTGAAGCAGTGGACTCAATTACATCCCTCTCAGTAGTTTTTTTTCTATTGATAAAATCCTAAGCGGCTTAAGGTCTGGAGAAAAATGGCATTTGAGTTAGGTAATACTAACACGACATGGGCCTGTCATAATCAAGTGAATTGGAATTGCAAGGAAAATTGAGTGCTCTTTCGTTGGTCCACCAAGGTTCGACCTGGAAGCTTAGGAGGGAGAAGTGATTTTGGCAAAATCAAATGCCTCAAAGGTCTGTGAAATTCAGACTATCAATTTTACACTTACTGTGGAATCGTAGGTATTATTATATATGCAACGCAAAACATCCTTTACAAATTAGTTGAATAAATTCTGTGATAGCACTGCAAATCGGAAAGTTGAAGTAAAATTGCACAGAACAAAAATATCGTTAAAAGGAGAAGTGTTTATGTTTCAAATAAAAACTGTTTGTAGACGTTTTTCTAATGTTTCAGGTTTGATCAAAGCCTCACAGGCTACATCACAGAGTCGGGAGTTAGGTCGTCGTGGAAGTAGACGGTCTTCGGGATTGATGGGTGAACGAAGGCGTTGGAAGGAGTCTGTGTAGATGGCTGGCTTTTGTCCACTACTGCTTGGCTGTCGAGTTGTCTGCATTGTCAACTTTCCACGTAGATCGCCATCGACGCTTAGCTGAAGACTTTTTCCGCCAAGTGTGAGTGCACCTACTTCCAGAATACTCTTTTTCTGCACTCTACTCTCCTTCATCGTCACCAGATACGGTCCGATGGCGTTAGAAAGGCCCACATCGGACCGCTGAATGGAGGAAGTTACATGAACATCCATCCTTGGATAACCGGTGATGCTGATTGGTGTAGGTTTGGAGGCCCAAGAACTTGTTGTTGCAGTTGTCTTTGGTTTGGTACTCCCTCCCACAACAGATGCATTGTAGATTTCGTCTTTTATTTGCAGCTGAAGTTGTTCTACCGTGTCTATTTGAGCAATTGCGATGCCCGACTTTTCTGAGATGCGCGATTCCATTTCGCATATGGTCGGCTGTAGACCTGATGGTTCCGAGATACCCATGGCGTCAGCACTGGACCTTTCTTCCACGACAACTTTAATCGGTGAAACATTAATTTTACATGGAACCATTGTGACACCAACTTGGCAACTGACATCCTCCTTCCCTGAATTCACTTGCAAAGATTTCACTTGTGGTGATGACATTGGGGACGGGTTTGACAATTCACTTGTTTGTTTTATTCGAAATGTGCACCGGAAATCTTGATTGATGATGGGCTTGTGGACTTGCGTTGTCGTAGTTTCCCATGCTTTGCTAAACTTTGCATCAGTGTCTTGTACACACGTAGGTGAGCGAGATGTGAAGCTTAAGTAAATGGGTTCCATAGACCTGGAGGTAGCACCCACTTTTTGAACTCTCACCTTCCGTCCTATAACATCCACAATGCCCTTCCTGTCTCCCACAGTAATGCCAATTTCCTTTACATCTTTAACATCAGTTACCGTCACTCCAGCAGTCTCGGTCAGTTTAGTTTCGAGTTCTATCGTCGACGGACAAATGATCGCATCGGCTTTTAGTCCAAGATTGGCCGCCACGTGTTCATCCCTGACGCTCACAGTCATATCCGCCACTTCTACTGTAGATGGAATCAGCGTGAGCCCAACTTGACAGGAGGCATCTGTTCCTTGTGAGTCTGTAGGCCTTTTTGAACCAACTTCCACTGGCTCCCTGAACTCTAAAGCGCCCGCTAAGGAAGGTGGGTACGGTGCAGTAGAAGTGGCATTCTTTAATCTAAATTCGCACCCAATACTTTTTAGGTGAAATTTCCCAGTCGAGGCGAGTGATTCTGCTGCCATTTGATGGGTGGCAAGCTCACCACTAACAGCTTCTGGGTGAAATGACCTAATCTCTAGCACACAGGACTCCATTTTTGATTTTGGCGTTGTCTGAGTGCTTGCCATGTACGATTTCCCCCCCGAATTAATATTTATGGAGTCCATAGTTGCTACTTCTCTTATATGTATTCCAGAAGTTTCCAATAGTCTACTTTCAACTTCAACGGCTGCTGGATAAACGATTGCGCCAGACGATACGACTGACGTGTTTTTGGGATGCATTTCAACTTTCGCCACATTTACGCAGGTAGGAGTAAGGACAGTTCCAACTTGACAAGATTTCGTCTCTGAAAGGACTGGTTTGGTCATCATCGAGTTTGACATTAATGTACTGTAATGATGCGAGGTTTCGACACCTTGCGTCTCTAACACTCTCGGCATCGTCTTCATGGACACAGATACCGTCCTCCCACTGCCTTGACATGACGCACACACACCTCCAATAGATGAGTTTCGTAGCACGACTTCACAACCAATGTCATTCAGAGTGAAGCTATCGCAAACAGTAGCAACATTCGTCTTGGTGACATGAGATGAACTATTTCCAATAGTAAGACCGTTCCCGTTGTTCCTGATATTAAGCAGCAGGCGGGGTTTCTTTTGAGTACCTGTAGCAATTGATGACTGCTGAGATTGACGAGTTTGAACGTCCGCGTCAACAACAATTCCACCCGCCTGAACTTCCGTACGAGTGACATCTGTTACATTGATGACCTCTATCCCTGGTGCCTCTCTTATCTCCGGTACCATCTGCACTCTTGCAGGACATAACACCGAATCGACATTCATGCCCAAATATTCGGCAACTTTTCGGTTTCTCGGTTTAACACTAATGTTACCGATTTCAATGGTTGATGGTCGCAACAGAATACCTACCTGACATTCCGCAGTCTTCGAAATAGGTGTGCTTGCTCTCTGATGGATGAATGAAGGTTTTCTACTGTAGTCTACTGACGTACTCTCAATCGGGGAGAAAGCCATTGAAAGGTTCTTAATCCTGCCCTTTCCATGGCATTGGTTACAGACAGTGCCGATATTTTCACTCTTTACTGCGAACTCACAGCCGACGTCGTGCAATGTAAATGTTTTTGTGCTTGTGGCCAGCTTTTCCATCACATTTTCCGTCTGTGCTTGGCCCAAAGTGAGACCCGATTCGCCACAAGTAATGTTCATGTTGTTCATAAACGACCTCCTGCCTGGAATACTCTCCGTCCGCTGATCATTCGCACGGTCGCAGAAACTCGTTTCGAAGATCGATGTGCCCGCAACAAGTTCCATGCTACCGATATCTTTTGCGCTTATCACCTGAATCCCGCTGTTCTCGGCTAGCTCCGTCTGCAACTCAATGGTCGAAGGGCAGATTATTGCATTCGGAGTCATGCCCATTTGTCTAGCAAGTTCAGCTGTTCTTGGTCGAATTTCGACGTTGGCAACGTGAACTCGTGTAGGTCGGAGGATCGCACCAACCTGGCATTCGACGTTTGCCACTTTGGAGCCTTGAATTTTCTGATTCGCAGGCTGTTGGTAGGCAGTTGAAGTGGTAGAAGTAGCTCTGCGGTCTTGAGAATTTACTTGAGCTGCAACTCTCTTCCCAGTACCGTGGCAAAAGTTGCATAGCTCGCTCACTTTCGTACTGACTATTTCGAATCTAGCTTGTTGCATAAGTGGTTCACCACTTGCATGGCAAATTCCTGATTTCTTTGCTGTTGGCTTTGTTTTATCTGGTGTTAATTCTTCCTTACTGTGATCAACACTACCATGATGCATTCGGTTGCTCGCATTCGCATAAAACGTAGATCCTTCAACAAGAATGTTTACGGCATCGACCTCAGAAATATCCTTCACCTTGATACCACCTGTTTCATCAAGTGAAGAGACAAGTTCAACAGTAGAGGGGCAAACAACGTTTTGCACCACGGCGCTGAAATCACCGATTTCGAGTGGAATCTTGGGCTTTGTACCGATTCCGACGATTTGAACTCGAGTGGGGGTCAGAGTTGTACCAACTTGAGTTGACTTTGAAATTGCTGACGGAGGTGCTCTTGAAGTCGAAGTCTCCAATATTGCTGAATCTACATGAGATGTTTCAAATTGGCAGTGGCAATGCCGTTGTCTCTGCCTATTCAGTGTAATAGTGATGCCAGCTTCTGTAGCACTATATGGAGCAGTCGTTGTGTGGTTGTCCATCTGTTCGTTCTTTAAATTCATTTCTAATGTGCAAATTTGCCGCTTATCATGACTTACCTCCTGTTGTGCTCGCATTCTGGAAGTCTGAGCCACCGATGCATCATACATCCTATCAGCTATCTTCACATTCAGGTGATGCATGTCTTGCATTTTCGCAACATTAATCCCTGCTTCTTCAGTGAGAACTGGATTCACGAAAACCCTTGTTGGGCAAATAACGGCGTTCAAATTCCTGTCTCGATGGTTTGATTGATCAACTTCGGTGAGTTGGAGGGGTACTGTACTAATTTCCATGATCTCGGGCTTTAAAATTGTTCCGACTTGACATGAGACCTCAGAATAAACGCGTTTGGTTGCGCATTTGGCTAAGTGAATTGGCTCAAAAGAGGAATCGCCAGAGAATTGTTCAGTTTCACCATATTGCAGTCGATTGGCTGTTATTTGAGCCTCTGTGCCTGCAGCCAATCTCGGTGCTGTGGTACTGCGATCTGCAGTTTTCTTAGGAAAGGAAACACTCCCTACATCCGTATTACGAATTGGTGTGGCAAACTCAGTCACGGCACCCTCTCGAGAATTCATGCGGGAGGTTGGTGAGGTGGTATTGGTGCCGGCATCCTCAAGCCAAAATCGTTCTGTAAACGATCTATCAGCGGGTTTAGCACTCACTGTTGAAATTTTGACTTCTTTTGGGGCAAGCCTAGGACTTACCGTGTGACGGCTTACCATCTGATTAGTGAAAAAGGAACTGGTTTCTTGCATTCGAATTGGTGTTTCGCATTGAGCATAGCATGGGGGAGTGAAATGGAATGATATGGGCTGATGAAGAGCACAGAAATGACTCATCGATAAGTTCTTCCGATCTTTCGTTTCTCGTGATGCCTTTTCAAAACATGTACACTCAGCTACAACCTTTGGTTTCCCCATACCGTTTACTACCGAAGCTTCCACCAGAACTGGCCTGCTGACCTGCACGTCAACGTCAGAGAGGGCTAGATCATTAGCATTTAGTTCACAATATGATGTGTCTTTCTTGAATTCTTTAGAGTCTCCCTGAACGTGATTCTGGTGACTAGCACATTTACGACACTGCATCCCATCATAGGCTCTAGGAATGTTTGGAGCATGGAAAATTTGAGCCTCAACATCGCAAGATTTCAACGAGCATGGAGTCGTTTCCACTTTTCTAGAGCTTCTATCTGTTTTCGTTTGGAGATTGGTGTTACTAAAGGTTCGGCTGAACTCTATGTTACCAGTTTTCAGCTCCGATGACCCCACTTGAATTTCACTTTCCTTCTGTTTAGGTTGACCTTTCCTGCTAATCGATTCCCTTGTGCGACATTCCAGATTATGCTGACTTCCAAAATTTGATGTGTCCCTAGTTGAGTGAATTTGTGTAACTATGTCACGACTTTCCTTCCTAGTTTCGAAATTTAATCTTCCCGTAGCCACATGGGTTTCAAAAGCTCCGGAATCAATTGAGTGAGCATCGAGTTCAGATGCTCCCCATTTGCGATTTGATGTACTACTTTCGGACCCTGTCAAAGTTCGGGCATCGCCAATCTGAAAAATCAAATCTTGTTTCTTCACACCAGATGTTGCAGTTTCACAGTAAGCGGTTGTACCTTTTGCTGGACCAGTGGTGTAGGTTTCATACGCTCTATCGGGTGTGGCTCCTCCCATTGCAGAAGCAGAAGATGGGGTGCTCTCAGCGACTTCCATGGCTGCCGATATGATGGAGCCATCAACCTGCTGTGCTTTTTGTGCTTTAATCCAACCAATTTGTGTCATGCAATCAACTCGATTGGATTCACTCTGTGTACCTGCAAATTTGCAGCTTACAAGGTTACCGGTCAGCTCTGTCTGAGTGTTTTGAATGACACGACGATGGGTAGTTTGTGTTGGAAAATCACGAAATGTCTTTGCTTTTTGTGCACTAGCTTGGTTGACATTGAGGCTACCATGTGTCTGTCTTGGATGCAGATTGGCTCCGCACGTAAACACCGTCGATTTTTCATTGCGGGACACATCCTTAGCCTGTAGAAGAGCTACATTCATTTTGGGGCGTTTGCGTTCTCGCGTTTCCAGAAATTCTACATCTGATTCCTCGTCCTCCTGAGTTAAAGAAAGCTCTACGGGCGTAATGCGTCCAAATGGAGATGGTGGTATTGGAATGGGCGGGAGTTCTTCTGAGGAAATACCAGAACTTGATGAGACACTAGAGATTATGAGGCGACCAACTCCACTGGTAGGTCCATTGAGGGACTCGGTGTATGCCGTCTTCCAGTTGTGCACGCGGTCGTAGAGCTCTTTTAATTCTGCCCGATTTCGATCATGCGTCATTCTGGAGCGGAAATTTAAAGTGTTGCAAATTTAACCAATGCGTTGACTTTTTAATGGTAGATGCTACAATATACACCTGAGACTTTCCAGCTGAGCCTGAAGTCCACGAGCCTCCGAAGTAATTGTTGAAGCGTATTCCCTCATACGATTTGTATACGAGTCAACGTTTTCATCCACTCTTCTGAGGGACTGAACGTGCTCGTTTAATAACAGTAGAGGTTGGTGGAGAAGATTTAGTTCTGAGCGGCCCCAAACTTCGTTTGCCTGTTCTGGTCTCGAAACTGCATGAAAAGGGCAAAGATGAGTCAATGTGGGATTACAAGTCTTTGCTTTTGCAACATTCCTTTAATTCATCCAATAAGCCTTGTCATTATAAATGCCATCCTTTTGAAGGATTTCTGCAAAAGTGGCGTTGCAATCGAAAGTGTTTAAATCACAATTGCCTCCGTGAGTTTGAAAACAGCTCAGAGCACTACGTTGCTTGTGGTTCGACTCTTACCATTGTGAAAAAATAGGACGAATCTCATTGAATTCTTGACCATGTAAAGGGAACGTCAAACCCAGTATAAGGTGTACTTGGTTTAGACATTCCCAATTTCTTTGCTGCAGATGTAAACGATGTTCTCATTTCGCAGCGCAGCTTAGATAGTAGTTACGAGCAAGATAAAAAATCTTTCTTAGTTAAACTATGCTTTTATGCATGCATATTACCAAAGAAGTGTTTGTGAAACTTGCCTGCTTTACCCGACAGCATCTCCAGGATATTAGCCAAATGGCCTTCATCGGCATCAGCATGTATAAGGAGTCGGTCAAGGTCCTCCAAAAAGCGCCTTTTGCCGTTTGAATCAGTCGTATAAAGACCCTTGTCGAAAAATAATGTAAAATGTTATTCTAATAAACTTTAAAAAGAGGTTGTAACACCACTTTGATAAGGAGACTCACGCCACGTTGCCCAACATCCTCAAGATAATTGGTGTAGTAGATAGCCAGTTGTCTTCTATAGTTTTCAACTGCATCATTCCATGCGTCTTTCACAGTTGATAGTGTTCTAGAAGAAATATTGTAGCATGGATCCAAGAAATTGACATGAGGCAATGGCCTTAATTTACTTAACTTTGCAGAGTGAAGCCTATAGCTTATTTGCGTAGTCAACATTTCCCGACCAGCGCGTTCAATTTGGGTAGGCGCAATTCCCAAAATGAAGCACTTTTCTGGACAATAAAGTGTTCATGTATGTTGTTAGTGTTCTAAGCACATGCTGTAATACAGGGGAGAGGCGGTCGGTCACTTCAAACGCCATGCAAATAGAGTGCGGGGATCCTTTCGAGAACTGACTTTGCATTTTAGTTGGGTTCCGATCCCTACAGACCGTACCCATATGACTATGTCCAATAATTCTTCCTCCAATCATCTTCCTTCTAAGAGATTTGTGGTTGGGGACAAGGGAAGCGGGGCTAAAGGTGCTATGCATCAAGATTTGGATGTAGTGGATGGGAGATTACGAGTTGCTTACTCTCCTTATCTAACATTAACCTAGAAGGAATGCCAGTCAACCGCAGGTACCGTGTCTTCGGTCATTGTTTTATCCCCATGAGTGTTAAAAGGACAATATCTGTTGGTGAGCAATCGACCTTAAAAGTCTCTGTAAATTGGAGTAAACATTAAATTTACTCAAACAAAGCATATCTGTTTCACTCAAAAGACCTTGTAGAATAGTTTGATAACCAGTTAATTTTGGGGCTCAAAGAAATCATATAAGAAATATCTCTGCATTCAAGTGAAGAAGCGCAAATAATTGCAAGGTGCTTATTTTGCGCTCTTTAAAGTCGACTCTCGTTTGGCCCTTCACAGAGTGGTTCCTACGAATAACTTTCTCCTATAGCTTATGCCACTTTTGGCCTTCATGAGTTTTCAATTATCACCGTTTTGGCAGGGATGTGGGGATGTGGCCAGAAAAAATTATTTTAATACCTCTACTTCTTCCTATAATCTAACATTGCTTGCGCTCACCGAGTGGTGCATGCAAAATGTACTTTCGGAGAAATAGAAGGTCTCACAGAATGTCGATTTCGCAACCGTAACGTTAGTCTGCATATTAAGTCACACTCGTCAGCGTGAAAATTGTTTAAAAATAAATTCCTTATATGACGAAACACGCACTTATAGGCATCATGAATCTGCTCGCCGTTGGCAGATGCGATGATGCAAGCAATAGAAGGAATATACTGTGGTCCATTGTGCGTCATCACCTTCCATAAGTAGGGGTTTTCTGTAGTGTCGATGAGAGGCAGGGATTCGCCCTTCTTCACGGTGAAGTTGCTTCCGACGTAATCGATCAACAGCTGCACCATCAACGGGCCGCCGAGCTCGGAGCTCCCGGAAGCTCCATCACGCACCTCTAGAAGGCGATTCTCGACGGGTAGAATCGAGGGCGCCTTCGAGGCAAGGACCCGGGCACGGTCTGATAGACTTTGAAAGGCACTCAGTCTCGCCTGTGAAGCAATTTTTTCGCATTGGATAATCCTAAGCATTCAGTCAGGGATCCATTTCACTAACCACTATTTTTGCATCAATGTTTTAGTTTGCTAAAAATTGTAGTACTACTGGGAGTGACTCGTCCTCGTTTCACCTAGAAGCTAAATTGGAGGCATGTCTTCAAGCATCCTAGGGTCGTGGGTTTGGTGTTCCTTTTGGTTGCTTCATATCAAGGATGTGACCACCAAATGCACTGATAGCCTCTCAAAGGTCAAAGTCTATCAGTTAGCATTTGTACGCGCAGTTAGAGCCGCCGCTTGCTAATTTGAACTCATTCTTAGTCTGTCTCCAACTAATAGCTATCAGGCTCGTGTGCACTACATAATTCCCTCAGCTTATTCACGGTGTTGGTAACAGACCTTTGTACTGCCTTTACTGTTGGGTATTTGGGTAGTGTCCACCTCCGTCTGAGCAAACGAAATCTCTGTTCCAGCTATTGGCGGCGTATGTGACAGTAGATTAATAGTCATCTCCATACTTGATCATTTCCAAGACGCCAGATTCGACACGGGAGAACTTTTGTGCCATTTGAATCTTTAGCCACTGCCCTTAATGATACGGCAATTCCACTAAAATTTCTCATAGATTCTGCTGTAAGGCCTACGTGAGCATTGTGGATGTTTGCACTGCTTGTCTTGCGTGGAGATTCATGCTTTTTTGCAATGCGCTACTAAGTTGGCTTCATTTTCGTTTGCTGCATTGTTAAGTTCAGTTAGTTTAGGCTGTCAATAAACGGTCCAAGCATTTTAAATTCAAATCCTGGCCTGTATCACATACCTCACTGGTTCACTGATTGTTGCTTACAAAACCGTTTGCATTTGACAGTGTCCAGTACAGGGTTTTTTGTGTACAATCTATTTTCAGACTGCCCTGCCA